CCAGCCCAGCCCTGGCCAGTCCCTGTCCCTTGAAGCCCCTTTTCAATACTTCCTAGGAGGAGAGGGCTGTGACAAGATTGTCGCCTGCCACTTTATTTCTGAATCCCCTGCTTTCTTTCTCCCCATTTACCTTGCCAGACCCAGAGTTGAACGCAATTGCTGGAGGGTGGACATCTGATCCACCTTCTCAGTTTACAGCTAGGGATACCGAGGCCCAGAGAAGCTGGGTAATTTAGCCAGCGTCTCAGCAAGACCCACACCAACATCCTTTCTCTCCACACAGTGACCGCTCAGCTGGGGTGCTGTCATGGGGGCACTCAATCCATGTGGGATGGGCAGAGCAGGCTGGGCCTGAACTACACCTTCTAAGAATGCTCCTGACTCCCTTCCACCCCTTGCAGGAAGTGAGTTGCCCGTATGTGCACGCTGTGGCCAGAGGATCTATGACGGCCAGTACCTCCAGGCCCAGAACGCTGATTGGCACGCAGACTGCTTCAGGTAGGGCCAGCTGTGGTGGCCAGAGGCCTGCTATTCCTTTTGGTGCTGTCCTTCCTGATGACCTCAGTTTTCCTTCTATAAAATGAGGCATTCTGACTGTGAGGTGCCTAAGGGCCTTCCTGTTTGGTCTTCTTATGTCTCTGAGGTAGAGACCTGTGTTCCAGTGTTGCGGTTGTCCCCTGCCAGTCACAAGGCACTGCAGGGCTAGATAAAAGTCCTTTATATAAAATGAAATGATGCACTGCTTGCATAGAACCTCTGCACATTCTGTAATACATATCCATTGTTTTGAGACTGGTTCTTGGTCTGTTGTCCAGCCTGGCTTCCTACTCCTGGGCTCAAGCAATCCTCCTGCCTCAGCTTCCTGAGTAGGTGGAACTACAGATGCGCACCACCAAATCTTGCCTTCTCCAGATATTTTAATCACGTCTAAATTACTTATAGTATCTACTACAATGTGATGCCCTGTATACAGTTGTACCAAATCACTTAGGGAAAAATGACAGGAAGAAGTGTGTACCTCGTCCGCACAGAGGCAATTTTTCTTGCTCAGTTTTTCAACCTCACTGGTTGAATCCGTGGATGCAGAACCTGGGGTTACAGGTGCCGACTATATTATATTACCAAGGCCTGCTGACAGCACACCCTGCCTCAGGCACTCCTGCCCCAGAGGTGGGAAGACAAACTGGCCCTTGAGGGCAGCTGAGCTCCTGTTCCCAGGGCCCAGCTAATGAGTGCAGGACTGGCCTCCAGACACAGACTGGGATACTGTGGGCAGGGCGGCGACCAAGGACAAAGTAGCTTACACAGTGACTCAGAGGTGACTCAGTAGGACCATGCTAGAAGCCCCGCGTGGGAGACCACTGGAGACTCAGCCATGAGGCCAGGGCAGGGTGTGGAATGGTGTGACTCCTGGCCGGGCACAGGGCCTAGTGCCTCAGTGAATTCAGAGTTCTGCGAAGCTGAAAGGCCCTGAAGGGCTCAGCATCCCCATCAGGAGTTTATTTTGCTGGTGGTGGAGTTCTGATTTATATTATTTTGTATTTTAAGAATAAGTCAGGCCGGGGATTTAGCTCATTGGTGCTATCGCTGCCTGCCTCACAAGTACAAGGTCTGGAGTTCAATTCCTGGTACCAAAAAAAAAAAGAATAAGTAGTCACGGGCCAGGGATTTAGCTCAGTGGCACAGCACCTGCCTGGCAAGTGCAAGGTCCTGAGTTTGATCTCCAGTGCCAAGAAAAAGCAAGAATAAGTCATGCCAGGTGTAGGAGTGCAAACCTGTGATCCCAGCATTCAGGAAGCTGAGGCAGGAGGATCACTACGAATTCAAGGCCAGTCTGGGCTACATAACAAAACAAAACAGAATAAGTCAGGCTGGAGCTGGAGCTCAGTGGGGTGGAGCACTTACCCAGCATTTCTGAGGTCTTGAGTTCCATCCCCAGCATCACCACACACAAAAAAGAATCAGTCTAACATCTTCTAGCATTGAGCAGAGGCCAAGCCTCACTCTTAGCGTTTGCTCAGGTAGACCCTGTGTTGCTTCCCTTCTGCCAGAGGAAAGTTGGGACACAGACGCCACCCCTCTTGCCTGAAGTCACACCGCCAATGAGGTCAGTGGACTCAATGGCCACTTGGGCCGGTGGCCAGAAGCAGGGCAGGCGACATGCCCTGAGACGCAGAATTGGTGATCCAGAAGGAGGATCCCAGGGCAGGGCAGGCTGTTGAGAGCACAGGAACAGTGCATCTGGCAGGAATAGCAGGAGTCGAGGGACGCAGTGAGGAGCCAGAGTCAAGATCAGCCTGGGAAGGCAATGAACAAAGCAGGGACCTCCTGCTGGCCTTCAGGAGGGAGCAGACAGCTCAGGTGGGGCCGTGGGCAGACTTGCTGGTGAAGGTCACTGTTACAGCGGACAGATGGTGGCCTCTTGGCAGGGAAGGGACTGTCACAGTGGTGCGGGAGTCTGATGTGGAGAGGGTGTGCAGATGACTTCAGACAGGGAGAGGATGCTGTTCGGCATCCAGAATGCTCCGAAACGAACCTGCAGCCCCAACATGGTGCCAACGAGTGGCCGGTCCACATCTGGCCTTGTGTGACCAGTCACAGCCAGACCCAGACACACCAAAAATGCTGCATGTAATCGCCTTCATGCCTTAGGTGCACAGGAAACCCTAAGTCAATCTCCTGTTTGGACTTAGGGCCCCTCCCCAAGAGATCTCACCATGTGCGGATACTCCACAGTTCAGCAATTTCAGATGCATCTGTGGTCCCAGGCATTTCAGATCAGGGATGCTCAACCCTTGTTTCCATCTTCACACCATCCTCAGCTCTCCTTTAATGCTAGCTCACTAAGCCCCCACTGTACCCACATGAGGTACCATGTTTGCTCAGTTTTCAGGTGACAGCTGGTGGCTTTGCAAAAGCAGGACCTGGCTGCCGGCTGTGCTGGGGGCAGAGCTGGGTCTTGTTCACTCTTGTCACCGCCAGGCTGAGGCAGGAGGGGCTTTGTTTGGGGTGTGGGTTGATGAGTGCAGGTCTGGCTTTCTAACCCGTGCCCTGGGGAGGGGGTGGTCTGCTGATCCTGGAGTTGGGGTTGCCCCGATACCCCGCCTGGCCCTCTCTGCGCAGGTCTGAGTCCAGATGGAAGTAGGATCTGGAAGAACTCCCTCAGAGCCGACACTGCAATGCAGAGGGGTTTGCCATGGGGATGAGAGGAAGCAGGGGAGAAGTTGGAGGCCTTTGAGCGTGGGGTGGGGAGGGAAGATGCAGCGCTTGGTTCTGGTCCAAAGCTGATGGAGGGAAGCAGAGGTTGCAGGGCACCTAACTTTGGAGCGGCTAGCACTGCATCACCGGGTGAGGAGTGGGCCCAGGCTGTCCCTGGCGAGGGGGGACCCGGGTCCCACAGTGAACAGGGCCCACAGGCAGTGGCAGTTTCTGAGTGGTGGCTTCCACATGTGTTCCTGGCCTGATGGTACGTGGCTTTCTCAACAGCCCCCAAGGCTGGGTGACCTAACAGTGTCCTTACCCTGTGACATTTAGGAAAGTAGCTCAGAGGCTGGTCACTGCTTGCCGGGGACACATGGCTGACAGGCAGCCAGACTGGCTCTCGGCAGGATGCCTGAGGCTCTGGATCCTGCTTGGTTCCTCTCTGGATGCAACTCAGAGCCGTGATTCTGCTGATGACATTAAGACCTTTGTTCCCTTTGTCCCTGACCCTCCTGAAGCTGCTCTGGCAGGAAGGGTGTGACAAGCTGTGAGGGGCCTGCAGCCTCCAGCCAGCTCCTCTGTCCTTAGGGAGGGAGGTGGCCCTGTGATAGCTGTCCCTTCCCCAGGTAGTTAGGGACCTCCCTAGGACAAGCTGTGAAGCTGGTTCTATTTCTTGAACGCCCCCCCTCACACACACAGTTGAGGAAGCAGGTGCAGAGGTAAGCTGTCACCATCTGCTCAGTGTCCCTGCGAGCCCAGCTGCAAAGTCCACGGCTCTGCCCTGTCACCATCAGGACTCAGGGTCCCTGCCTTCTAGTGAGGGAGCCGAGCAGAGAAAGATATACCAGGTGCTGGGAGACAGCATTCTGAGAACATTTGGGTTGGAGGCTAAGGGTACAAGGGAGGAACACTTCCAAAGGCCCCAAGGTGGCCCATCTGGAATCCGCACAGCCCCCATGTGGCTGGAGGTGACTCAGCTGGCTGCGGGGTGTGTGCTGGGGGAACCGAGGAAGGAGCCTTGGCTGTGCATCCTCTTGAGTACTGTGGCCCAAGACCTCGCTTGGCAGAATGCTGCTACAGTCCCTGGACCTGGTCTTTGAGGGAGTCCCAGGCTGTAACCAGCACCCGGGAACTATTGGGATGCAGCCAGGAGGCAGGTACATCTGGAGAACAGCACTGCACCCCCCTGTGGATGTGATGGGGTTGCTGTGGACCCAGAGCTGCCTCTAGCACTGCTGCTGAGGTTCAGTTGTCACCCCAGGCCTGCCCCTTTGTCCTGGGGCCTCGCCTCCCAGCAAATGACAGCCAGCCCTGTGGTCCAGGTTTCCTTTGGCCCAGCTGCTGCCTCTGCCTGTGAGGCCCCTCCCAGTAATCTCCCCAGAGGTCTGGCCGGCAGGAGGGCTCAGCTGGCTGGCAGTCCAGACTGGGTACAGCTCCCCTCTTCAGGGGACCTTTCATGCGAAGAAGACGGACTGTCCATGGGAAGTCAACCTCTGCTCCCTTGGGGCCAGCCCCGGAAGAGGCAGCTGTGTTGAGTTTGTCTCTGTCCCCAGGCCCTCCATGCCCTTGTCCAGGCAGAGGCTGAGGAACATACAGGGCATCTTTCTCCTGATGAGAAGAATTGAGGGTCGAGTGGTAGGGTCAGAGCCTAGATCTCCCCTTTCCTACCTCCCTGACAAGTGTCAAAGCCTAGATACCCTCCCCCTGCCTGGAGTCTGCAGTTAAATCCCTCCTTCTCCACCTTCTGCCTGGGGTCAGAGCCTAGATCCCTCCTCCTCCACCTCCCTGCCTGGGGTCAGAGTCAGTGTCCTTCCTTGTCCACCTACATAAAAGCCCAAGCTGACAACTCTTAGTTGCTTCCTGTTGCAAGATCAGACCAAGGCCCTTCGCACCCACACTGCTGCACCCTCAGTTCTGTGTGGCTTCCTTTCCTCGATGGCCCCACCCCCTGCAGCCTCCAATCCGGAGCCTACTGGTGGGATGGGGAAGCTCTGGTCAGGCCACCCCTGTGCTCCCACAGCCTCCAAATACCTCTTGCCCTTGCTGCAAAGGATGCTGCTGGCTGCACCCTGGAGAAGAAACCGCTTCCTCAGAGGGGCTAAGTAAGTGCAAAGCCCCCTCCCACATGGCTGGCCTTTGGTGGGGGCTCCGGGGCTGGAGGAAGCACTGGGACAGATGCACCTGGGGCAGAACTGAAACTTGCAGGTCCCTGTCGTCCGGCTATGGGAGTGCAGGCCACTACACAGCTCTGTCCTCTCTGCCATGGTCTCCCCACGCACAGCTGGCCCTCCAAATGCTTTTTCTTCTCTGGGAAGGGGCACCCCAGGAGGGATGGACCTCACACTTGTCACCTCCTCTGCTGCAGGACACCCTCTCTTGTCCCAAGCAGGCGCTGTCCCTCCCTGCCTTTGAGACTGGGGCATGAGTTCCACTTCTGCTGGCCCTGAGCCAGCTCAGTTCCCTGTGTGTGTGTGTGTGTGTGTGTGTGTGTGTGTGTGCGCGCGTGTGCCTTCTGCACACTGTTTGTGGAGCACCCCCAGAGCCAGACCTGTCCTTGGCTCCTGCCTGGATAGAATCTGAGGGGTCAGGACAGGATAGGTTTGAGTTCTCGGTGTATCTTCTACCTGCTGAGGGGTGCTGAGCTCCCAGTGCCAGCCACTTTGGCGCAGATGGAGGCAGAGAAGAGTGAGGAGTGTGGGCGGCAGACAAAGGCTGTGGTGCCCCGAAGTTCCAGCCCCCAGGGGCTTCAGGGCAGGGGAGCTGCGTGAAGGGCCAGGTCCCTGAGATTGCGGCTGGGAACCAGTGGCAGCGGCAGTGTGGTGACTTTCTGATGAGTGGAGAGGGCTGGGAGCATTCTCCCCCCCCACCCCCGGAGTTGAGGGACTGCAGCGGCTCTGAGCCCCGCCCTGCTGAACCCCACCAACCCCAGAGGAAAGGCAGGCAGGATGCTCCTGTGAGCACTGAAGAAGTCCTGTGTGGTCGGTGGACAGTCTGTTGACCACGGGGCAGGAGCAAGGCCGTCTCTTCGGAGGCAGCAGGGTGCAGGCTCACATTTTCTGGCCTGGTTAGAGCCTGGGGAGGCTCACTGGGGACCACCCCTCGGAGGCTTCCTCCCTCCGCCCCAGGCGGGAGGCGGAGCCTGCCCTGTGCGGTTCCGGGAGTGTGGGGCCGTGTCCATGACGTCACCACGGCCTTTACCCACCGCGGTGGCCACAGCCGCCTCTTCTTCGTCCTCCTCCTAACCCTAGGTCCCCTGGGGTGAGCTCATGGGCCCCCTTTCTGAGCGCACTCCCACCCACATGCTTCTGAACCCTGACATTTTGTGCTTCCCCAGTCCAGCCCTCCCAGCAGGCTCCCAAACAAAGGGGAACCAGCAGGATCCTCTTAAAGGGGCAGAACCCCCCCAACTGGCTGGCTGGGCCCCCACCCCCACCAGGGCCAGTACATTGGCCACACTCAGTGCACGGAGGGGAGAACAGGGCTCTCCTGCCTCTCCTCACTCCGGGACACTCGGGCCCCACCCCTTCGCGCTGAGGAAGAAGCCAGGCAGGTGGGTCTGGCTCCTGGTTTCTCCCATCTCTTCAGTCCCTGCTGGGGCTATGTCAGTCCTGCTCCATCCCACAGGGCTGTTTGTGAGGCCAGGAGGGGAGACTCTTGCTTTGGGCAGTACTGGCCTGTCCCCCGAGCGCCCCTCTGTGACCAGCATCACCAGCAGGGCTGCAGGGCACCAGGAGATCCTCTGGCCCTGGCTGGACCTGCCTCTAGGTCCGCCCATCTGTGCTGAGCAGTCCCTGCTCAGAGAAATGGCGTCATCTCCTGTGCCTGTGAGATAAGCGTGTTAGGCCTCCAGCACCCGCGTCTCACACAGCTGCAGGTGGACTGTGGTGGGGCGGGGGAGGGGGAGGACTCCCACTGCCCCTTGGAGTGGGCCATCCGGGTTCGATTCGCCCTCCACCTGCCTGACACCAAGAGCAAGTCACCTGCCCCCTGGACTCTTCCTGGCATAACAAGGGACAGACCCTGATGAGAAGCAGCCCTCACCCTTCAGGCCAAGCCCTGCACACAGCTGCTGTGAGAGGTTGTATAGGCTGTGCACTGCACAGAGCAGATTATTGGGACATCAAAGTGGGACTGAATCCATCCCCGGCCCTGCTTGCCCTGCCCTGTATCCCAGCACAGCCTGCTTCTGCCCATGGAGCAGGATTCTAGTTCTAACGATCAGGAAGTTGAGGCGGAGGAGGGTGGGGTCCATCCTCAGCTGCCCTCTCTCCTGTAGGTGCTGTGAGTGTGGTGCTTCCCTGTCTCATCAGTACTATGAGAAGGATGGGCAGCTCTTCTGCAAGAAGGACTACTGGGCCCGCTGCGGCGAATCCTGCCATGGCTGCTCAGAGCACATCACCAAGGGGCTGGTCATGGTGAGCACCTGGGCTGTGTGTGCACCTGAGCCTGTGTGTGTGCAAGTGTGTGTGTGTGTGCACATCTCCTTCTGCTGTGACCCTGGACCGCACAGTCTGTGTAGCTGGCTGTGCCCAGGAGCTCGGCAGCTCGCTTCCCCAGTCCCTGAACCATCTTGTACCCCTTTTCCGCCAGGTGGCCGGGGAGCTGAAGTACCACCCTGAGTGCTTCACCTGCCTCACGTGTGGGGCCTTCATTGGGGACGGGGACACCTACACGCTGGTGGAGCACTCCAAGCTGTACTGGTGAGTGCCAGGGCCCCTCGCCAAGCCCAACCCAGCCTGCCAGGCTCTGGATTTCCCTGGGTGCAGTCAGAGGGCCGAACGGATGCCACTTACCTGCACCCTTCCTTCTGTGGTGTCACAAGCCCCAGGCATGGGGCAGACAGCACCCCAGATGCCAGTTCCCTTCCTCATGAGCTGCTGCCATGCAGCACCAGCACCAGCCCTCCCGGAGCTGGCACAGAGCCCACACACTGAAGACGTGGTCCCGAGAGATTGCCATTGGCTCAGACACCAGCTGCGTACGCCTGTCCCAAGGCCACCTGCATGTCTGACCAGTTGGGACCCAACAGCCCTGTCAGATTGGATCATTTGCTACATGACCCACAGAACTCCAGGAAGCCTCACGCCCAGGACCACAGTTTCAGTTTAAAGGGCACCACTTGAGACTGCCACATGGAGACACCTCCCGCGTCACCAGCCAGGGCACCTCCTTCCCCTAGGTCTGCATCCAGGGCTTCACTGGGCTCTCACATGCGACCCGACTCTCGCTGATGGGCTCCCAGCCACAGGATGAAGCTCCGTCTCCTGCCCCCTCCTTGGAAGCCAGGCCGGCCCCAGCCCCAGCCTTCACCACTGCTGGTCTTCGCCGTGACCAGCACCCCTGAGTCATCTTGTGAACGTGACTCGGGCACAGGCTGAGGGGCTCATAAATAACCCAGATGTTCCTGTTCCAAGGACTCAGCGTCCCCCAGGAACCGTGGACAAAGAGCAGATGAAATCTCCCTTACAGAGTAGCAGTAAAGCTGGATTCCAGAATAGCACAACTGGTCCAAAACGGGCTTTCAGTGACTTCCTCGCGAGCTGGGTGTGCTGCAGGCCTGGAAGGCCGTGCACACGTCACAGGGAATGGACACCCTGGAGTGACTGAGACCCACGGAGCTGTGGTGCCGGGCACACTCACTCCTGCCCTCAGTGCCATCTGTCAGCTGGGGTGGGGGCCGCAGGGGTGGTGGTACCAGCGACATACCTCACACCCTTCTCCCTGTGTTGCAGTGGCCATTGCTACTACCAGACCGTGGTGACCCCCGTCATCGAGCAGATCCTGCCTGACTCCCCCAGCTCCCACCTGCCCCACACGGTCACCCTCGTGTCCATCCCGGCCTCTGCTCATGGCAAACGCGGCCTCTCAGTCTCTATCGATCCCCCGCATGGCCCACCGGGCTGCGGCACAGAGCACTCACATACCGTCCGTGTCCAGGGGTGAGTGACCAGCATCGATGTGGCAGGTAGCAGACCGGGACCTCAGGGGAGGGAGTGTGTTTGGGCACACAGTGACCCAGCTGTAGCTGTCGCCTGTGTAGTCAGTCCTCTGGAAACCACTGCATTGTGCCAGACATGTTGGGACTAAGTGCCTGGCGCCCACAACTTAAAGGATGGGTCAGGGTTTCAGCCCACGGTCAGCTGGCTCCATGGCAGAAACATGGCACAAGTGTCCAAGGAAAGGTGCCAGCTCATGGCAGCCTGGAAGTGGGGGGCTGGGGAAGAGCCAGAGAGGAAGTGGCAGGGAGCAGATATCATCCCCGAGGTCACGGCCCCATGACGTACCCAGTCACAACCACAGATGTCCTTTATTAATCTCTGAGGCATCTCCCATGCCAATTAAGTTAGCAGTTGAGAGTAACATTCACACCCAATAAAAGGGAAAAACAATTCTGGAGCCCATGTGCGATCCAGCAGAAAGGAGGGGGACCAGGTCAGTAATGACTAAAGGACACGGCCCAGGGCCGCGATGGCAAAGCTGGACAGAGTGAGCCTCCATCTTCATAACACCAAGGAAGCCAGTCTGTTAGGAGGCTTTCCTCCTCCCCTGTAACACTGGGATCCCAGAAAGGCCCTGAGTGTGACTGAGGAATAAATCCGATCTATCATAAATGCTTCTCCATCCCTAAACCACAAAATAAACCATCCAATCCGAGGACGGGCAGAAGAGGAGAGTAATCACACACAAACTAGAAGACTGTGTTAAGGTCACAAGCAAGATGTGCTCCAAGCAGGCAGGCCCTTAAGATAGTATAGAAAAGGTTCAAGAAGCAAGAAGAAATAGAGGGGAGAGTGGGATTTAGCTCAGTGGTGCTATGCCTGCCTTGCAAGCACAAAGTTCTGGAAAAAAAAAAAAAAGAAGAAGAAATAGAGGAGTGAGCCGACCCAGATATTAACTCTCTCTATAACTTCTGCTTAGTCTGTTTTGTGGCTATAATAAAATTCCTGGGACAGGGTCCTTTATTAAGTAAAGGGACTGTTCTGGCTGGGAAGTCCAAACAACATGACACCAGCACTGGCGAGGGCCTCTGAAACAGCATTCGCCCACAGCAGGAAAGCAGAAAGGGAAACAGCCACATGAAAAGCAGGCCCAGCACACAAGGTCCCCTTACTGTGTAACGATCCTCCCTCATGAGAACTAACCCGGTCCTTTGAGAACTGCATTAATCCCCTTCAAGGCTGGTGCCCCATGACCTAATTGCCTTCCCCTGGGCTCTGCCTCTTAAAGATCCACTCCCACTCCTTATCATGACTTGGGGGCCCAAGCTTCCGGTGTGAAACTTAAGGGGACACACTCGAAGCACAGCCACACTGTAGTAGGCTCCGTCAGCACGCTGGGGGAGTTGGGCACCATGGGGCCTTCACTGGCACCTGGAAAGGTGGTTTAAAATGTGCCCACTTCTGGGCATGGGGGCCCGGTGCCAGCTTCCATTTCGCTCAGTGTCACACAGCACCAGGCACTACCCCTGGGCAAGGACTGACTTCGTCCCTGCCCCTCCTCGCATATCTGCTGGGCAGCTGCCTCAGTACAAGTCTGAGCAGAGGACAGGCCAGAGTGTGCCCTTACTGGAGCCCACCCAGCACAGGCAAAGGCCACAGCTAATCCCTGAAGAAATGAATAGAGTTGCCAGGCATGGTAGCCTTTAAACCCAGCACTCTGGGAAGCTGAGTCAGGAAGACTGCAAGCTCAAACCCATCCCAGACTACTTAGTGACTTAGCGAAACTTTAAAGGGGCTGGGGTTTTATCAGTGTGAAGGCCCCAGGTCCAATTAAAAAAAAGAAGATAGGACCAGGGATTTAGTTCAGTGGTGCCGCTGTCTGCCTCCCTACCGAAAGAACCCGAGTTCAATCCCCTGTACCAAAAAAAAAAAGAAAGAAAGAAAGAAAAGAAATGGAGATGTCAGTGCGGTCCCCTCCCTGTGTGCCTTAGTGGTGAGACTGTTGCTTTCCCAGCCAACAGCTGGTTTCCCAAGAGCCACGCCCTTCCCAGGAACTGCCGGGCTGGCTGGAAGGCCGCGACCCTGACCTGACTGACGTGACTGTAGTAGAGTAGCTTTAGCTGACTGCTTTTCACTCTGCTCATAGCCACATTTTTAAGGCAATTTTTATATATTTGGGCCCCAGGCCCCTGTCACCATAGCAGAAGACTGAGGGAGGGAACATGGAGAGTCTAAGGAAGTTGAACCCCAGGCCTCTGTGCTGAACCACATCCCCAGCTTTTTCTATTTTGTATTTTGAGATAGGATATCGCTAAGTTGCCCGGACTGGCCTCAAATTTGCAGTCCTCCTGCTTCAGCCTGCCTCAGCCTCCCAGAGTCCTGGGATTACAGATGTGCACCACCACCCCCAGTGAGACCTTGGCTTTTTAAAGCACGTGGCTCAGTCCCTAAGTAGAATGTCCCTCGGCTTGGGTCTGCCTGTTATTCCCGCCTCGGTAGTTCTGGTTTCTGCATTTCCTGCCTGTCTTGCCTGCCTGCCGCCCGCCCGCAGTCCTTCTGGACTCGTCCCCCGTGGACACGTGATTTCACTGCGCCCTGTACAGAGGGTGCTACCTAACTGCTCGGCTCATTTTCTGTACTTTCTTGGCTCATTTTCCCCTATGCAGTCCATAAGCCATTCGTGAGGTTAATGTCTTGGTTCCCATCGTTTCTCACCACTTGGTTTCAGTGTCTTTCCTGAGTCTTTCTTGTGATTCTCATTATGTCACCTGCAAAATGATGATTTTTCTAGCTGTGATCTTCTGCAATTTTTAGTGTGCTTTTTACTGTACAGAAGGGCTTCTTCCCCAAATATTGGGTTTATAGGCCTGTCCCCACTTGCAAATCTCTTTTCTTTTTCTTTGTTTTTTGTTTTGTTTTATTTATTTATTTTTTTTTTATTTGAGACAGGGTCTTGCTATGTAGTTCATGATGGTGCCAAACAATGTAGTGCCAGCTAGCCTCGAATTTATGGCAATCCTCCTGTCTCAGCCTTCTGAGTGCTAGGATTATAGGCATATGTTACTGCACCCAGCTCAAAGCTCTTTTCTTAAAGCTGTTGCTCTCCTTTCTGCTTTACCCCTACTCTTCCCCAGCCCAACGACCTACAAGAGAGACAGCAAATTCCTCAAATAGCTTTTATGAAAAAAATGAAAGGAAATCAGGTAACACACATTAAAGAATAAAAAGCCTCAAGAAATTGAGCAGATTGGCCAATCCACACTCACGAGGTCATAGATGGCGAATCATGATCGTCCTCCCTGCTTCTCCCTGCTCCTCCCCCCAGGGCACTGCCAGCTCCAACAGCCAAATCGGGAGGAGCAGGAGCTTCAGCTCCATCTTTGCTGTGGAGTTGAGAGTAGGCCAGTGGATCTGGACCCTTCAGGACCCTGTTAGGACATTTGTCTGCCCAAGCATCCCAGGCAGTCAGAGGACGCTTCTGTCCCCCAGTGCAGGAGACATTCTGCAATGGGACCAACTGAACATCTGTGTGGGGCAGCACATACCTGTGGGTTCCCCTGTTTCCACAGCTATACCTGTGGCAGACATGAGTAGTCAATTACAAAACTTGTACTTCCCAACTGCACAGGATGGAATGGTCCCCACCTCTACCCTGATCTGGTGGTTTCCTACTGGGGGCTGGGTGGGCAGGAACCATTCTGACCACTGCTCTACCCCCAGAGTGGACCCAGGCTGCATGAGCCCAGATGTGAAGAATTCCATCCATGTGGGAGACCGAATCCTGGAAATCAATGGGACCCCCATCCGGAATGTGCCACTGGATGAGGTAGGGAGGGGCCCGAGACCATCACGGGATATGGGTGGCAGAAGTGGTGCCCTGCTCTGAGTGCCCTTCCGCCGTCACCACGGCCACCTCACCTGCGCACCTGTGTCCCCAGATCGACCTGCTGATCCAGGAGACCAGCCGCCTGCTACAGCTGACAATCGAGCACGACCCCCATGACTCGCTGGGCCAGGGGCTGCTGCCCACACACACACCCCTGAGCTCCCCGGTGTGCACACCCAGCGGAGAGGCCGGCAGTGCGCGGCAGAGGCCTGTCTTGTGAGTCCCCTCCTGGGTGTGTGGGTCCCCGACCTCCCCTGGCTTGTGTGGGTGGAAGAAGCAGGGAGGGGGCTCCATGGCATTTGATGTGGGACAGGGATTCCAAAGAGGAAGAGGACATGGGCAGGGGCTCCCAGAGTAGGCCAGGACCTAGGCTTTAGGGAGCTGCCAGCTAAAATGAGCTCTGGATGATGGGGACATCAGGTGGGGTGGACGAGGGACTCAGGCAGAGACTAATGGCAGGCATCGTTGGACATGGCAGGGGTCTTTGGACTTTGCCTTGCCTGGAGCAGGGCCCCCCGGAGGGACACCGTAGCATAATGATGTATTTCATGAAGGCCACCCCGTGCACTGTGCAGCAGGGTCTTGGGGTGGGGACACTGAAGACCAGAGATGGCTACTGGGCTGTTGCAGTAGTCCAGCAGCAGGTACCATGGGAAGTGCAGGAAGAAGCCTAGCAGCAGCCTGGTCCCTACCTCACATCCCACCAGGCCTGCTCAGGACTCCTGTGGGGTCACCTTCTAGGACGACAGCGGGGCTCTGAGATTGTGTGGTCAAAGGCACCTGCTCCCCTTCAACCTGCCCGTCTGGGGCTCTGGCCACCCATGAGGCCCCTCTGTGGGGTCACCAGCACCCCAGGCAGGTTCCTCCATCCCCCAGAGCCTGGGAGACAGAGCATCTGACCCCCCGCCAGGGGCACCTGCACAGCAGGGGCTCAAACAGGAGTGGGGGCTCTGAGGCCAGGAGGACTGAGCTGTGCCACCCACAGGGGCCACCCCGGGCCGGTCCAGATGGGACAGGACAGGACAGGCACCACCTCCTCTGTGGCACTGGGCACCGTGTTCCTCCCCAGGAGGAGCTGCAGCATCGACACTTCCCCGGGGGCCAGTTCACTGGCCTCGCCAGCCTCCCAGTACAAGGACCTGGGCCGCTCTGAGTCCCTGCGTGTGGTTTGCCGGCCGCACCGCATCTTCAGGCCCTCGGACCTCATCCACGGGGAAGTGCTGGGCAAGGGCTGCTTCGGCCAGGCCATCAAGGTACAGGGTCTGAGGTGGGGCAGGCTGGAGAGGCCCTGGGTCCCCAGCACAAAACCTGCCATGTGAGGCTCTGGAGCTGGAGACAGGGAGGGACCTGCTGCAAAAGACCCAGAACTTTCTGCTTAGCAAGGCTCAGCGGTGTGGGATGGAGGACAGGAGCCCAGACCAAGCCCCAAGTCCCTCCCTGGGGCCCTGTGCTGGGCCTAGTATCACCCCCACTGCAGCCTCTTACCCTTCACATTCCCGGAGCAGCACATGAGCCCTGCCCCGTCCCTATCCCCTTGCCAGGTGAGGAGTTCCCAGGTGAGCCGCCATTCAGTGTACAGGTGACAGTTCCGCAGAGCACACACCTCATGCAGTCCAGATCTGCCCCCCTTCCTGGTCAGCTGGCTAACCTCAGCCCTGTTAGGACACCTCAGCGCCTCAGCATCCCCGTCAGTGACCCCTGAGCTGTCTGCAGAGTGCAAAGCAGCTCTGCCTCCCCAGCAGTCCCAGAGCAGCTGCCGGCAGGGCCTCCGTCTGTCCTGAGCCCCCGTGCCGTGGTGTCCCCCATGCAGGTGACACACCGGGAGACTGGCGAGGTGATGGTGATGAAGGAGCTGATCCGGTTCGACGAGGAGACTCAGAGGACGTTCCTAAAGGAGGTCACTGGGGGACTGCGGCGTCCCTTGGGTCCCCAGCCCTTCCCTGTGCAGCGGGGGTCAGGGGCTCTGGAAGGGGTGTGATGCCCAAGCCACCCGTGGAGGGAAGGAAGCATCCGTCTGTATGGGCACTGGTGGGCTGGAGGAAGCGAGGGGAAGCAGCCCAGCCTGCCTGTGCCCGGCAGGTGAAGGTCATGCGGTGCCTGGAGCACCCCAACGTGCTCAAGTTCATTGGTGTGCTCTACAAGGACAAGCGGCTCAACTTCATCACGGAGTACATCAAGGGCGGCACGCTGCGCAGCATCATCAAGGGCATGGTGAGAGCGGGAGGCCGGGCCCACAGCTGGGCCTGGCTGTGCCGGGCACGCTGCGGAGAAGCGCTTGGGAGAGGCCCCTTCCCCTCCCCGTCCATGCAGACCACGTCATTTTCAGTCTTAGACACGGTCTTCAAAACTCAGGGCTTCCTTGAGGGTGTGGGTACAATTACAAGCCCGTCTTCAGAATAAAGCGCTGGGAGGAAGCCATCAGGCACCGTGTGCTGGAGGCAGTCCTGCTGTCCAGTCCTGTGTTTAGCCCCGTTTCGGCATCACCCTGAGACCATGAGATCTCGTCCCCTGCTCGAGCCTCCCACCTCCCATTCTTTGGGCCAGTTTTCTGGTATTCCTCATAGTGTGGCCCCGTTCCTCCCAGTAGGTGTGACTTCGGGTCCACACCACTGGTCCACACCATGCGTTCATGCACGCTGGTACCTGAAGTGTCCCCAAATGATTTGATCCTCATGTTATCAGCTTTCCAGCGCTGTGACAAAATACTGTACCCAAGGTAATCAGCTTATAAACGGAAATGGTTAGCCAGGCATGGGGCCACTCCTGTAATCTTAGCTACTTGGGAGCCTGAAGCAGAAGGATCACAAGTTTGAGATCAGCCTGGGCAACTTAGTGATTTAGTGAGACCTTGTCTCAAAATAAAAATGAGGCTGTGGATATAGCTCAGGGCGAAGGCCCTAGGTTCAATCACCAGTAAAATAAACTCTCAGATACCGAGGGACAGCTTTACAGGTTTTTCTGTTCAGTGAAGGCAGACTGGGAACTAGAGAGGCATAGCCCCGTCTGAAATCAGGTGTTAGAAAATGATGCGTCTGAGTTGGTCGCCCACACCCCTGAGAAGCAGACAGCTATGGGTGCAGAGGGGAATCGCGTCCGTCAGACCTCCAGGACATCTGCCCTGTGTGGCTCATGCTGCTGTCCCTGTCATCTGTGTGGCCCCTGTGGCTCATCCTGTCCCCCCCTCCAGGACAGCCAGTACCCTTGGAGCCAGAGGGTGAGCTTTGCCAAGGACATCGCATCGGGGATGGTGAGTGGCTGTGCCAGGGGCCTCTGCCACTAAGCTTCAGTGCCCCGAGGACGCAGGGAACGTCTGACCAGGGATGGGGGATGCATGGAGAATGGGCCAGACTGGGGCAGGGGTGAGCCAGGGGCCCCTCAGCACAGCTGCTCATGATGCCTGTGTGCCCCGTTTGCCCCAGGCCTACCTCCACTCCATGAACATCATCCACCGTGACCTCAACTCCCATAACTGTCTGGTCCGTGAGGTGAGCTGGGCTCCGATGGTGGGGGCTGGGGGAGCAGAGAGCCAGGAGCTCAGCAGGCCCCACACCACAGACCGACCACCCCTTGGGAGTCGGAGCTGGGACCCCACTTGTCCCCGGGTCTGTCTTGGGCTGAGGGGGTAGTTTAATGCACGCACACACACAAGTCCATCTGTGCACATCTAGAGCTGCTGCCCACTGCAGGGCCCTTGAGACTCCAGTGGCCACCCTCCCTGGGTTCCCTCAAGCTGTATTTCCGGTAGTGGGGGCTGCAGGCCCTGTCTCAGAAGACCCTGTGAGGATTGTGTAGGCGAAGATCCCTGACCCCGAGCCCCTCTGAAGAGGACAGAGCAGGGATCCACACTGGACGGTCACCATGGCCCTGGCCTTGAGAACCACCTCCCAGGGCGACAGGCAGGTTCAGGGATCCCGGGTCAAAACTGCCTGCCCCACCTGTCTGCCACCTGCTGTTACACCTGAGGCGGCAGAGCCCTGAGAGCAGCAGAATTGACCCAGGCCCCAAAGAAGTAGGCAGGGACAGGTGTTCAGCCCCTCCCCACCTGCTGTCCTCAGAGTTTTCTGATTTTGGAGGGGAGGAGAGGGTGCTGGGTTTGGATCATTAATTTCACTGAGTTGTTGGGAGCACTTAAAATGCTGTCTAGTTGGGCGTGGTGCTGCACACCTGTAATCCCAGCACTCTAGAAGGCTGAGGCAAGAGAATCACAAGTTCAAGCCCAGCCTGGGCAACTCAGTGAGTTAAGGAGAGTTTTATAAGAGGGTGGGGGTGTGGCTCAGTGTGAAAGCCCTGGATTCAGAGCCCAGTACCATGTGTGCGCACACACACACACACCAGTGTAGCCTGTGACATCCACACCTAGTGCCTGGATCTCTGGTCAGAATTCTTGTTTTGCTTTCCAAACAGTGGAGCACCTGTGCCCTGATGGGCAAAGGAAGTGCCTAGGGAAAGAGCGGGGATGCTGGGATGGTTTTGGGGAGCACTGGCAAGGCAAGGGTCAGGAGCTCCAGGCGGCGCTGTGTGCAGAGTGGGGATTTGGGGACGGTGGGCCACAGTGTCACAAGCGTGTTCTCTGGCGCTCTGTGGGTGGCTGCAGGGCCCAGTTAGGGGCAGCCAGGCTGGGTCTGCATGTCAGTGCGACCTTGCTTCACTTTCCCAGAACAAGAGCGTGGTGGTAGCCGACTTCGGGCTGGCGCGACTCATGGTGGATGAAAAGACACAGCCTGAGGACCTGCGGAGCCGCAAGAAGCGGTACACAGTGGTGGGGAATCCCTACTGGATGGCGCCGGAGATGATCAACGGTGCGTGTCCAAGAGGGGCCCGGGACCCAGAGTCAGGACCAAGCTGCCTCCACCAGCGCTGTGGCCTCCCTGGCCTCCACAGCCCTGCAGCTAGCTTTCTTCTCTGGTCCTGTGTTCATTTCCCATCGTCGCCGTAGGGTGTTTCCACGTACTTGGTGGCTTTGGTAACAAGTGATCAGGCTGTTGTGGAGGTCACAGGCCCAGCCACAGTCTTCCTGGGCTGAAGTCAGTGTCCCAAGGCCTGGGCCTTCCACCTGCTCTGCAGCAGGATCTGCTTCCTGGCTCCGTCCGATTCCCGGGCCACCTTGTTCCTGGGCTCCAGCCCCACCTCCCTCTCCAGGGAAGCAGCTTAGCCTCTTCCTGTCCTCTCCTCTGGTGCTGAGCCCCTCCTCACTCTGAGTAGGACCCTTGGCTGACGTGGGGCCACCTGGACAATCCAGCATCTTGTCCTTCTCAGGCCCCTGGAGCTCAGGTTTATTGCTTGCCTGGCATGCACAGGGCCCCAAATCCCACCCCCAGCACCACACACACACACACACCCTTAGCTCACCTGTAATGTCCCACATAAGGTACCACATCCACGGGTCCCAGCTTTTTAGGACATGGACATCACTGGGGGCCACAAGTCCTCTTTCTGCTCCATTTCTCTTCCATCGGTGCTCACTCCAGTATATGCGCAGATCTAAGGTTAGAAGGTCCCTCCACAGGCAGGTGACACATGGGCAGAGATTCCGGGAAGACCAGTGGACGTAGTTAATGTCGCCCCCAGATGACACATGCTGTGAAATAGCCTGAACAGCCCTTGTCACTGAGGTGGTACGAGGATTAATGAGATTGGCATTCAGAAAACAAGAGTAGCCAGACATGGTGGCAACATCTGTAACCCCAGCACTCAGGAGGCCTGTCCTCGGCCCAGTCCTTGTGTGGCTGTGGCCTCTTCTGCGAGTCTCCTCTACCTGGCCCTCTCTCTTGATGGCGGCAGGGCCACCGAGGTGCCCCATGCTCACCTCCTCCCTGGCTCTTCATCAAGTCTGCAAAGACTTTTTGGGTGTTGCTGGAGGTGGGACCCTGGCCAGGCACTTGCTAGGCAGGCTCTCTCCCCTGAGCTGCACCTGAACCTGAGACCCCTTTCCATGGCGCAGTGTACTCCCAGGCCCTTGAGGCTCGGTGGGCCCCGCTCTTGGGACTCGAGCCCATGGCTGCCCGGGTTCACGCGGTGGTTCCTGACCGAGCAGGGCCTGGCATTCTTGCCCACAGCACTCGTCCTCCCCACAGAGCTGCTGGCAGGTGGCAGAGCCAACAGCCCGGGGCCCTTTCCCTGCTTACATGTGGTCTCCCGTGCAGGCCACAGCTATGATGAGAAGGTGGATGTGTTTTCCTTCGGCATCGTCCTGTGTGAGGTAGGTCCGGGTGGGTGGCAGTGGCACCATTCCTGTCCTCCTGCGCCCAGACTGAGAGACCCCCAGATTAATTGTCGGGCCTCACGCTGGACAGATCATTGGGCGGGTGAACGCAGACCCCGACTACCTGCCGCGCACCATGGACTTTGGCCTTAACGTGCGTGGCTTCCTGGACCGCTACTGTCCCCCCAATTGCCCCTCGAGCTTCTTTCCCATCACTGTGCATTGCTGCGACCTGGACCCTGAGAAGAGGTGAGGGGGCACCGAGGTGGCTCTGGGGCAGGGGCCGTCCAGGGAGAGCCAGCCCCAGCAGCCACCCCCTGTCCCCAGGCCGTCCTTCGTGAAGCTGGAGCAGTGGCTGGAGACCCTGCGCATGCACCTGGCAGGCCACATGCCTCTGGGCCCACAGCTGGAGCAGCTGGACAAGGCCTTCTGGGAGATCTACCGACGGGGCGAGAGTGGACTCCCTGCCCACCCCGAGGTCCCCGACTGAGCCGGACCCACTGTCCCCAGCCCGAAGAGGCTGTGGCCAGGCCCTGGCTCGCCTTCTCCCCGGCCCACACCCTCACCCTCTGCCTCAGCCCCAGAGCTTTGCGTGTTCTGTCCCATCACCCTGCCCTACCTCTGTGTCGGTGGGGCCACCCCACTCCTGCATGAGCTGCAGGGCCTGTCCCACGCACTGCCCTGCCACCCCTTGCCCTGTACCTGTCTGCACCTGCTCCTCTGCAAAGGCCCTGAGGGGCTGGCCATGGAGGAGGGTGTGCCTGGGTGTAGAAGGGGCATCATTTCCCGAAGCCCCGGCCCCTGCCAGGACGTCCAGGGCAGGGCAGGGCAGCATTGATGCACCCCGACCTCAAAGCAGACTTGAGGCCTGGCCCTGCATGCTGGCTGGAAGTATCTTGCTGTCTTGCCCTGGGTCTCTCTTGTTTTCTTTATCAAAGCCACTTTAGTGAGAAGCAGGTACCAGGCCTCAGGTGAAGAGGGTCCCTTCAGGCAGAGGGGAGCCTGGCCGATGGAGGAGGCGGCCCAGGCGAGGTGGGGTCAGCCAGTGTCCACCAGCAGCTCAGCTCTGCGTTCATCTCAGTGCCCCAGGCCCTCCCGTCCTTGCACCCCTCTGTCCTCTGGGTTCTTTCTGTGTAATCTATTTTTTAAGAAGAGTTTGTATTATTTTTTCATACGGCTGCAGCAGCTGCTGCCGGGGGCTTGGGGTTTTATTTTTGTGGCGGGCGGGGGCGGGAGGGCCATTTGTCACTTTGCCTCAGTTGAGCATCTAGGAAGTATTAAAACTGTGACGCCTTCTCAGTGCACTTTGAACCTGGGAAATAAGCCGAATGGGCCCAAGGGACCACGGTGGAGGGAGGCAGTTTGTGCTCACCTCCACCGGAACCTGGGTGGCTATAGAACAGATCAGGACTCTGAACAATAAAATTCTGTGCTCCCCATGTAGGGCCTGCATTGCATGGTGTGTCCAGGGCCCCAAGGGAAGAACATAGATGACAGGAACTAGAAGCATGGCAAGAAGACGAGAATGAAAGTAGATCGGACAGGGTGGTGCACTCTGGGATCCCAGCAATCCAGGAGGCTGAGGCAGGGGAAACGCCACATTCAATGCCAGCCTGGACAACAATTTAAGACCGGTCTCAATATAAAAAGGAGACAGGCATGGTGGGCATGCCTCTTATCTCAGCACTCAGGAGGCTAAGGCAGGAGGATTTTAGCCAGACCCTATCTCAAAAGTAAAAGGGGAGCCAGGTGTGGTAGTGCATATCTGTAATCCTACCACTCTTGGGAGGCTGAAGCAGGAGGATCACTAAGAGTTTGAGACCAGTCTGGGCTACATAGTGATGTTCCAGGTCAGTCTCAACTACATAGTGAGACCCTGTCTCAAAAAACAAAATAAAACAAAAATAATAATAAAATAAAATAAAAGGGGATGAGGGATATAGCCTAGTGTAAAGGGCCTGGGTTCAATCCCCAATACCAGAAAAACCCAAAACAAACAAAAAAAAAGACAAGACTTTAAAAGCTGAACTGAGGAGAGGGTGCATACTAAGGAAGGTATTCATAATTACTCTTTCTGAAATTAAAGATGCCCATCAAAAAGACAGTAACAAAGCCAGGTGTGGTGGCACACACCTATAATCCCAGCACTCTGGAAGGCTGCTCAGGAGGATCACAGGTTCCAGCCCAGTCTGGGAAATCTAGCAACTGAATGAAATCCTGTCTCAAAATAATATGGATGTCATGTAGCTCAATGTGAAGACCTTGGGTTCAATCTTCAGCACCCCCCCGCAAAAAATAGCAAGCACACTATATTTCAAATATAAAGCATTTAAAATGGAATCGGTACTGGGCATGACAGTACATGCCTGTAATCCCAGCACTTAGGCACCCGACGCAAGAGGACTATGGCAAGTTTGAGTCCAGCCTGGGCTACATAGGGAGTTCAAGGCCAACCTGCCAGATCCTGTCTCAGAAAAATAGCTGTTGTCAGTTGTGGCAGCACATGCCTGACATCCCAGCTCTGGGGAGGCTGAGGCAGGAGGACTGCTGCAAATTCGAGGTCAGACTAGGCTTAAACCTAAGTTTAAGGCCACTCTGAACTATATAGTCAGACTCTTTCTGAAAACAAAACCACTAAAATTATCTCTATATATTTAAGGCTGAGGACAGAACATGGGCAGGGAGGGAAGAAAGTCAGGAGAGGCCCCCTGTAGACCTGTCAGTAAACAGGTCGTGCCTGTTTCAGAGCCCTGGCTCCCTGGGCTGGGTCCTCTGCTGACTCCTTCCTCCAGCACTTGCAGGTCCTGGGAGGCTGGGCTGTGGTCCCCACTGAGGCCTAGCAGAGTGGGACCAGGCACAGGCAGCCAGAGCAGGCTGACCTCACCCTGAACCAGCCTGTGACCTCAGCCTGCAAGGTCCCGGGGTGGCACTGAGCACCTCCTTCTGCTCCAGGGCCAGTGGAAGCCACCAGCTGCAGGTGACCACTACAATTCAAGTGAAAATAAATGAAGATGAAATCAAACAGAACATCATTTCCATGGCCACACTAGTACCACTTCAAGCACCTAATCTCTCTGGATACCGCCACAGGTGTTTCTGATTATGAAATAAACTGAATGTTCTCTTATTACGAAATTCTTAGAATGAGGAAAAAAAACAAAACAAAACAAAACAGCAAGGCATGGTGGTGCCCGCCTGTGATCCTAGCACTCAGGAGGCAGGAGGATCACTAAATTTGAGGCCAGCCTGAGCTGAATAGTGAGTTCAAGGCCAGGGTGAACTGCAGTAGAAGACACTGTCTCAAAAGACAACAGTAGCCGGGCGTGGTGGTGCACACCTGTAATCCCAGCACTCGGGAGGCTGAGGCAGGAGGATCGCTGTGAGTTCGAGACCAGCCTGGGCTACATTGCGAGTTCCAGGTGAGTCTCAACTACATAGTGAGACCCTGTCAGAAAAAAACAAAAAACAAAAGAACAACAAAGAGGGGCTGGGATGTAGCTCATTGGCACTGCACCTGCCTTGCAAGCACAAGGTCCTGAGTTCCATCCCTGGTACCAGAAAAAAAAAAGTGCTGTGATGAGGGGTGGACACATAAGGCATTTCTTTTATACTTAATATTTATTTCTGAAATTAAAGATGCTTATCAAGAAGACAGGGACAAAGCCAGGTGTGGTGGTGGTGCACACCTGTAATCCCTACACTCTGGAAGCCTGAGGAGGGAAGATCACAAGTTCAAACCCAGCCTGGGCAAATTAGCAAAACTTTGTCTCAAGAAAACAAAAAACTGGCCACAGTGGTGTACCCTGTAATCCCTGAGGTAGCTGAGGTAAGATTGCCACAAACCAGCCTGGGCTATGCAGTGAGTTCAAGGTCAGCCTGAACTGCATATCCCGACTCTTATCTTTAAAAAACAAAAATAAACACAACAAAAAGATTACTGTTGCTCAGTTTGTCAAGAATCTGGGAGCATGGCTGCGCTGTAGCTCAGTGGTTAGTGCTTGCCTAGCTTGTGTGAGGCCTTGGGGTCCATCCCAGTACCAGAAAAGGGGCAGGAGGGCAGCTGGGGTGACTTGGACTTTCCAGGTTGGGCTCCCCGGGCTGGCTTCCCGTAGGCAAGAGCAGCAGTCTGCAGATGCGTCTGGACGGGCACGTCCTGGGCCACGCCCCGGTGTGTGGCTCATCCATGTGGTGGCAACTAATGCGGCTCCTGGCTGGAGGCCAGTTTATCTCCGGGGCCCCTTGGGGTCCATGCAGCCTCCAGTGCCAGCATCCCACATGGGTATTTTTTGCCTCTTGAGACCCCTCCAAAGTCACACCCCTTCTCCACGTTGGGCGTGGCCACAGCCAGCCCAGATTCCGATTCCCCAGCCTGAAGCCAGGGAAGGACGGTCGGAAACTGACTGGGAGCCTGGAGGGAGGAGCCCTAGGAACCAGAGCTGGGCACTGGGACATCAGAGGTGGTGGTGTCAATGCCGCAGGTGCTGGTGCGCTGCGGTTTGGCCCCGGAGAGCAGGAGACAGCCCTTAGCTTTTCTTTGCCATCCGGTGGCCCAGGCAGGCAGAACCCAGCAGGAGCCCGGGAGAGGGTAAAGAATCCTGGGAAATGTAGTTTTCAGTCGCACAGAACAGAAAGAGCAGGCTTGGAGCCGAGCGTCCAGCAACGACCACCCTTGGCTCCTGCAGCCAGAGACATTTCTGGACCGGAATCGGGATCTAACCTTCCGCCGCATGGGCTGGGAGCCGCCGAACTGCACGGAGTGGGTCGTTCTCTTCACAAAGGGGATGCAGCATTTCAAGGCCAGCCCGAACTACATGGGGAGACCCTGTCTCAAAAAAATAAAAAGTGGGGAGGCTACAGGGGATGTAGTGCTGTACAGATGCATGAGTTCAATCTCCAGTGCAAAGGAGAAGAAAAACTCTGCAGCCCCTCAGGGTTCCAGAGTCCTGCTCGCCCCTATTGCCTAGGAGCAACCCAATTTCTCCTTGGAAATCAAGGGTTAAGTACTCCAGCCACAAAAACTACCCGCTTATTCACCTGTTAAGGGTAATGAAGATCCCCAAGTGGTGGTGGTCTCAGTTTCCCACTTAGCAGAACTGACCTGTTCCCTGGCAGAAGCTTGTCCTGGTGTTAGGTAGGTTGGAGTGCAGGAGTCTCCTTCTAGAGGTGGTTAGTAGGCTCTTTCCGTCCTGAACAAAAAATTGATCAAGACAACCGCAAAAAGCAGAGAGGGTTTTTTGTTGTTGTTACTGGGTTTTGGGTTGCTCACCTGTCCTTCTGGAGTTGGATTCCAGGTTCTTCTCATCTCAAGGAACTGAATGAAGTGAGCAAAAAGCAGTGGCAAAGTTTATTTGAAAAAGTAAAAGTAAAAGTGAGGGAAAAACTAATTCTGCAAAGGGAGTTTAGGCCAAGTAAAAAAAGGAAAAAATCTACTGGAGTTCTACAGAGAAATCCATAGGCAGGGCTTTGGGAACTGTTCTACACGTGTCCAACCAAGATCTTGTGATTAACAAGTCATGCCTACTTTCCCAGTCAGCTTTGCCACTACCTAATCCCCTCAGTTTTACCTTTATTAAAGGTAGGGAAGGTAGCCAGTCCTGGTGGTGAAACTGTAGTCCCAGCATTTGGGAGGCTGAGGCAGGAGAATCACCACAAGTTCAAGGACAGCATAGGCTACATAGGGAGTTCAAGGCCAGCCTGATACATAGTGAGACCCTGTCTCAAAACAAACAAAAGGAAACATCCTCTGTATAGCAAATTTGGGCCAAGGAAAATAGCCCGGCATGATAAGGAATACCTGTAATCCCAGCACTGTGGGAGGCTGAAGAGGATGACAGGTTCCAACCCAGACTGGGCAATTTAGCAATTTAGTGAGAACCTGTTTCAAAATAAAAATTTAGAATGGAACATGTGGTTCAGTATGAAGATCCTGGGAATGGTTCAGTGGTGGAGCACTTGGCTAACATGTACAGCAAAGTCCTGGGCCTGACCTCAAGTTCCTCAAAAAGAAAGGGAGGGAAGGGACCAGGGATTTAGCTCAATGGCACCGTGCCTGCCTCGCAAGCACAAAGTCATTGCCCATACACTGTACTGAACTGAGGGATTAAGGAAAGTCAATTTTTCCACAGCTGCAGCACTGTATTATTGAAGCATTAAGTACCAGAGATATTTGTAGGGGCAAGAAAGATTATGACGTGGGTGAATGAAAAGCATAGAAAGACGTTCAAATCCAGAGACATCAAAATGTAGGTTATCTCTTGCAGCTATGATACTCAGCCTGCAACATGACATCTAACCCATAAGGAGTTTTGTTTTGTTTTGTTTTATGAGACAAGTCTCCCACTATTCACGGTGTAACCCAAACTGGCCTTGAACTGGCCTGCCTGAGCCTTCTAATAGCTGGGATCATAGGCATGCACCACCGTGTCCAGCTAGGTAAGCCTTTAAGTGACAGCTGTGGTGTTGAGGACATAGATTCTGATGTCTTTGACCAACTTTTGTTATCATTTCCCCCAAAACACTGCTGTTCATAATGTCCTTCTACTTCCTCTTACCCAAACAAATTATTCAGTTTTGGGTTGGGGATTTTGTTTTGTTGCAGTACTGGGAATTGAACCGAGGACCTTCCCACTGAGCTGCATCCCAGCCACCCCACTTTTTTTGGTACTGGGGATTGAACTTGGGACCTTTCACATGCAAGACAGGTGGTGGAACCACTGAGCTAAATCCCTGGCTCCCAGCCCTTTTTATATTGGGGTATAATGCCAATTTTGACATAAAGGCACCGATACATGGGTATATAATAGCCACATTTATTATTTAAAATATTTCGACTGATGAATAATTTTAATTTTATGATTTTTATTATATTAAACAATGGTTACTCAACAAGAAAAATGTCAAAAAAATAAAGTACTGAATTTTTTAGTATTTGTTGAGTGTGCATAAAAAAGCATCAAAATTTTCAACAGTAACTTTTGGCGTACAAAGTCTAAAAAATAACAACAGAAATAAATTCCTATATGAACCACAATGAAAATACCATAAACCCTACAAACAAATAATCTTTACTTCAATTAATGCAAGGTAGGAAGTCTTCACACATGACAACAGCACGTTCGTTCCATACACGTGTATCTCTTACACTGACAACAGGTGTGTTTTGCCTTCCTGGCCTTTTTGTAAGACATACTTGACATCTTGCTGGTCTTGCTGTTCTGTCAGGAGTTCTTATTTTTGTTTGTTTGTTTGTTGAAACAAGGCCTCCCTATGTAGTTCAGACTGGCCTTGAACTCACTATGTAGCCCAGGCTGGCCTCTAACTCAAAGCAATCCTCCTGCCTCAGCCTCCCAAGTGCTGAGATTACAGGTGTGCACCACTATGCCCAGCTATGAAGTTTTTATTATGTTATATTATACAATGTATAGTTAAGAGGAACATAAAATATCTATACAATAAAGCATTAAATTCTTAATACATATTGCACATTTAGAATAAATGACATTTTCACATCAGCTGTACTTGCTTACAAAACCTAAAAGATAATGTCAGAAATACATTCCTTGCTGAACTACAATGAAAATACCAAGAGAACTCTACAACAAAAATTATCTTTTCTTCAATTGTAATACCCACGGCAGTCTTCACACATGACAACTGTATTTTCCATGCACACATCTTGCTTACGCCAACAGCACATGTGCCTAGCTTTCCTCTCCTGTGTGGCAGGCTACTCTTGTCACCTCTGTTGTCTTCCTTTTTTGTCAGGAGCTGCTTTACTGTATTGGACAACATGCACTTAGCATAAAAATAAGATATCGATAAAATTAAATATCAAATATGTAATGAGTTCTCAGAATAGACAACATTTCCATATGTGTTGTTTACTTGTTTACAAAACCTAAAATATAACATCAGATATACTTTTTCTGGAGGGCAGAGTTTTGGGGAAAAAATGAAAACCAAGATCTGGTATGTAAAGGTACAAGAACCCAATGATGAATGTAACTGTACTATGTACTTCAAAAGTACCAATAAACTCAATAAAAAAGGAAAAAAAAGTGAAAAACAAAAAACAAAGAACTACCTCCTCCTTGAGACCTTGCACTTGTAAGGCAGGTGGTGGAACCACTGAGCTAAATCCCCAGCCCCAACAACAGAAATAAACATATAAATTACAACATAAATACAAAAAAATTAAATAATCTTTGTCACACCCAAGGCAGTCATCACACGTGAAAACTGTATGTTCTATATATAAGCATCATTTACACAGATAGCATGTTTATTTTATCTGTCCTATCTTGTAGGACAAAGTCTACATCTTTTTGGTTCTCTTGTTGTTGTAGTAGGTCTTTGTGATACTTTGTCTGCCTGCTCACCTGTGAGCTTACCAGTGTACTCCACAATGTTTTTTGCATAGTTCCCTGGGCAGAAACATTTTGGTTTTTCTCTGCTATGAATAATATGTTATGGCCAGGCATGGTGGAACACACCTGTAATCCCAGCACTCAGGAGGCTGAGGCAGGAGGATTGATGTAAGTTGGAGGTCAGCCTGGGCTACATAGTGAGTTTAAAGTCAGCCTGAATTACATAGGGAGACCTTGTCTAAAAAAAAGAGAGAAAGATATCTTATGATTTCCAGTCCCAGTATGCTAAGAAAACTTCTCCGTGGTATTTTGCACTTGTTATTTCTTTGTAAACTATCAAACTATTCTTCCACATGTGTTTCACATGGAGTAAAATACTTTGTGTTTTGGCCAACACTTTGTGTTTCAAGTGACATCATAGTTGCCACATAACTAATCAACAATATCTACTCTGCCTTTGGTTTTTTGTTTTGTTTTGTTTTGTTTTTTGGGACAGGGTCTCACTGTCTAGTACAGACTGCCCTGGAAATCAGTGTAGCCCAGTGTGGTCTCAAACTCAGTGATCCTCCTGCCTCAGCCTCCCAAGTACTGGGATTATAGGCATGGGCTACTGTGCCTGACTGCCTTTGGTTTTATTGTAGAAAGTTACCATCTCAGATTTGCATTATTCTTTTCTTGGTTTTTTGGCTTGGGTTTTTTTTTGTTTTTGGTTTTGGTTTTTTGAGACAGGGTCTCACTATGCAGTTGAGACTGACCTGGAACTCACTGTGTAGCCCAGGCTGGTCTCAAACTCACAGCGATCCTCCTGCCTCAGCCTCCTACAGGTATGCGCCACCACGTCGGGCTCCATTTTGATGGAATATCAAAATGATGGCTACCATAGTTCCATCATGGTGGAGTGTACCAGTACCACTTTGTTTTTCTTGGCTATATACAAGGCCAATGTTACATCCTTCTAAAATCTAAAGATTGTACTATACAATTCTCTGTTTTGAAATTGCAAACATTTCATTTGGAATTTCTTCTTTGTTTCTGCATACAGTTCCTATGCTAGTCAACTTGCGCTCTGTTGGCAAATGTAACATCAATTGGAAACTGGTAAACCAATTGTCGAATGTCACATTCCAATTAGTTTGGGAGACAAGAGTAATAAGTGTGTTCACAACATCGTTCAGTTTATTACTATACAAATAAGGACCTGGTGTCTGAGTTCCAGGATAAATTTCTAAATTAAAAGCATAATTAGTCTTTGCATCTACAAGGGCATAAATTTTTATGGTGTATTTTGACTCATCACTATTCCATAAGTCTTTTACATTCCTGCAATTACCATGAGAAATCCCTGCTAAGTATAGCAGGTCTATGAGTGCTTTCAGTTCAGCCAGTGAGGTGTCTTAATAAATACTTTTTTTTCAGTACCAAAGATCAAACTCAGGACCTTGGCACTTGCCAGGGAGGTGCAGCACCACTGAGAGGTCCCAAAGGGAGAGGGACTTATTTAGAAAAGAAGACTCAAAATAGCAAGACACAGGGGATCAGAGCCTCAAGGAGTTAAGACCCAGATCTTTACTTGTTCATCTTTTTATATCCTACACAGTGAGCTGTTACATGTCATTAGTCACAGGCTACATTAATCATTAAAGAAGTTAAAACACTACAGAGGTTATACATATGGCAACAGTAAATTCAGTTTCTGGAGCCAAGCTATGGCAAGCATACATCTGAATAAACATACTCAGGGAGACATTCTTTCCTTATCTACAAAGATCAGGGAATGCCTGGGACACTGCAAGTGCACATCCAGGAGATCATTTTAATCTCTTGCTGTCATTTGGTTGCATCACCATTTTGCAACAGTTTTACTATGAAGGAGCTGCTGTGAGATGTGTCAAAGCCTGGGTGTCTGAGGGCACCTGAGGACACAGTCCCATCATTTAGT